CATTTTGCAACAAATATCACGTTTCTAGCTCAATTTTGAAGTGAGTTATAGCCTTATTTGCTTCGAGGGCGCGGTCGGCTGGAGGCGATGAGCGGCGCGCGCGACAGTCAGGCATCACTCCTCACTGTCGCCCGCGCTGCTTGTCGCTTCTTGCTGGCCGCGTCTTCGGCTATGACTCGCTTCAAAATTATGATAGGAGTTCGATTTTTGTCGCAAAATGTAGAGTAAAAATTGCTTGTATCAAAAATTACCTAACAATAGAATCCTTGCAGTTTTCGGAAGGTCGGCAGCCAGAATAACCAATATAAAAGTCATTGCCATAATGTTGGTAAGACCCACTGAGATCTGAAGTACGCATTTTCATGACCTACATAGCTTTTTCGAGGCCTTCATATGTACCTTCTCTCCAACATTCTCGATATCCATAAAAAGTGCAATTATAGTTAACAAGTTGATAAAATAGGCTGGCACCATCACCAGAGACACGTAGAAACCTGGATTTCTCTCTATGCGAGCCACGAATCTTTGAATTGAACTCAAGCTCGGATTCAATGAATCCTGTTCAGCTACACCGACATATGTCACTTTCCATTCTCCATTTCCCAACTGAGACATTGGTTTTGCCATTGCTTCCATCTCCCCATGAATCTTATACTCATCATTGAAATAGTTATGGAATAGTACGGAAACTCCACATTCGTGTTGGTCCATTGGGAATTTGAACACCTGCAGATCAGAGGGCTACTGTAAAAACAAACTGTCGCCACTTACGTCCAGCTGACAAATAACAGAGGATACTGTATATGTGTACAAGCCAACTGTTCCGATGTAGTCGATCTGGAAATGGGGTTTATGATATGATATGGGGTACTGTCATACCCATGCAGTCCGTGGAGCGTCGTCGGATTCGAAGAATTTCACTTCATGACTGAAAAATTTGGTTATTTAAAAAATATATGGTACCATTGCCGTGGTATCCATAGTAAATATGGTACCTCTGGAATATATGAAAAATACTACCCATGGTGCCTATAGATCAAGGTACCATAGTAGCCATTGTACATATGGTACCCCAATACTCATTCTGCTTATGGTATCATGGCGCCTTTGAATTATACGAAAGCCATATGGTACCCCACTACTTATGGTACTCGAGGCACCTACGCGGATTATAATACCCATGGTACCTATGGAGCATATGGAATCATTATTATGGTTGCCATGGTAAATATGGTATCACCACTATGGTTTCCATGTTACATATCTACTTCTTACTAAAGAAAATTTTCTGTGTGTGTGTGTGTGTGTGTGTGTGTGTGTGTGTGTGTGTGTGTGTGTGTGTGTGTGTGTGTGTGTGTGTGTGTGTGTGTGTCCGTCTCGGACATTAACTTGAATAACTCAAAGGCGCGTGGGACTCCTATAGTGGTGTGTGGTATGTAGTCATGGACTGCCGAGCGCTTCATGTCTATGGTGTCCTGGGCCTTCTAGCTAATCGGGAACCTACAGGGTTGAGAATCGAAAATTTCAAAATTATGTTGAAACTCACTAAAACTTCAGGGAATTTTACAAAACAGTTTTTAGACTTATCTATGTGCTGCCTACAAAAAATTGAGCTGAAAGCTTCGCAACAGAAATTTTTTGTAACATTTTTTTCGTGATTAACTCAAATTCTGTAACCTACTGTAAATTTGGTTGCCGTGTTTTTTTCGACTGCAAAACATTCTAGAGAATTCCAGGACAGTTTAGAATACTCTCGAAAGCTCTACATCATTCCAGAAAATTGCAGAAACTTCCAGAAAGATCCAGAAAATTCTAGAAAATTCCAGTAAATTCCAGAAAATTCTAGAAAATTCCAGAACATTCTAGAAACTTCCAGAACATTCTAGAAAATTCTAGGAAATTCTAGAAAATTCCAGAACATTCTAGAAACTTCCAGAACATTCTAGAAAATTCTAGGAAATTCTAGAAAATTCCAGAACATTCTAGAAAATTCCAAAAACTTCTAGAAAATTCCAGAACATTCTAGAAAATTCTAGGAAATTCTAGAAAATTCCAGAACATTCTAGAAAATTCCAGAACATTCTAGAAAATTCTAGGAAATTCTAGAAAATTCCAGAAAGTTTCAGAACATTCTAGAAAGTTCTAGAACATTCTAGGAATTTCCAGATTATTTTAGAACATTCTAGAACATTCTAGAAAATTTCAGAAAATTTTAGAAATTTTCAAAAAATTACAAAAAATTCAAGAAAGTTTCAGAACATTCTAGGAATCTCCAGAACAATTTAGAACATTCTAGAACATGCTAGAAAATTCCAGAACTTTCTAGAAAATTCCAAAACATTCTAGAAAATTCCAGAACATTCTAGAAAATTCCAGAACTTTCTAGAAAATCCCAGAACATTCTCGAAAATTCCAGAACATTCTAGAAAATTCCAGAGCATTCTATAAATTCCAAAAACTTCTAGAAAATTCCAGAAAGTTTCAGAACATTCTAGAAAGTTCTAGAACTTTCTAGGAATTTCCAGATTATTTTAGAACATTCTAGAACATTCTAGAAAATTTCAGAAAATTCTAGAAATTTTCAAAAAATTACAAAAAATTCAAGAAAGTTTCAGAACATTCTAGGAATCTCCAGAACAATTTAGAACATTCTAGAACATGCTAGAAAATTCCAGAAAGTTTCAGAAAATTCCAGAAAGGTCCAGAACATTCTAGAACATGCTAGAAAATTCCAGAACATTCTAGAAAGTTCCTGAACACTCTAGAAAATTTCAGAAAGTTCCAGAACGTTTTAGAACATTCTAAAAATTCCAGAGCATTCTAGAAAATTCCAAAAACTTCTAGGAAATTCCAGAAAGTTTCAGAACATTCTAGAAAGTTCTAGAACTTTCTAGGAATTTCCAGAACAATTTAGAACATTCTAGAAAGTTCCAGAACAAATGAGAACATTCTAGAAAATTTCAAAAAATTACAAAAAATTCAAGAAAATTTCAGAACATTCTAGGTAATTGCAGAAGACTCTAGAAAACTCCGGAATATTCTAGAAAATTCCAGAAAGTTCCACAACGTTCTAGAAAGTTCCAGGACATTCTAGGAATTTCCAGAACATTCTAGAACATGCTAGAAAATTCCAGAAAGTTCCAGAAAATTTCAGAAAGTTCGAGAACATTCCAGATAATTCCAGAACATTCTAGAAAATACTAAAAGTTCTAGAAAGATCCAGAAAACTCTAGAAAATTTCAAAAAGGGCTAGAAAATGCCAGAAATTTCGAGAATATTCCAGAAAACTCCAAAAGACCCAAAACATTCATGAAAGCTCTAGAAAAGTTCAAGAATATTCCAAAAAATTCCAGGAGGGTCTCGAACTTTCTCAAATTTTAGCTTTCTCTACAAAAATATTGCAACATTTTCTCTATACTTTCATTGTGATCTCGAACCAAAGGCTTAGAAATATTGATGTATGTGGGTAATTCAAAAGTTCAGGAATTCGGAAAAGCCGAGTATTTAAAAAACTCGGAAATGCAGAAATTCGACAATTAAGGATTTTAGGTTAGAAATTCGAGACTTTAGAAAAAAAAACATGTATCCTGCCATGTAGAAACTCGGAAATTCAGAAAATCGGATATCTTTTTTCTCAAAAAAGCGACAAGACTTAACAGAAATTATCAGAAAAATGTAAAAAAAGTACGTCTGTTTTATCAGAGGTGGGCATCAAATAGATGTGGGCTTCTATTGGAGAAATTACGTTATCTAGAAATTCCCATATTAGTAACATCCAAAATTTAAAAATCGAAATACTTGGAAGTTTCAGGCACTCGGAAAAGTGGAAAATCTAGACTTTAGAAATTCAAGTGTAAGATACAGTGAACGAAAGCCAGGAGGTTGAGCCCCCGATAGGGGGCTCAAACCGACTGGTATAACCCTAATGAATATTTTGCTTATGGTATGCATGGTGCCTATGGATCATATGGTACTATTCCTATGGTACTCATGGTAAATATGGTACCCTAATACTAATTCCGGTTGTAGTAAGCTTCGTATCAATGGGATTACTACCCTATGGAATGTCTATTGCAGCAGCGGTATTATTACTCGAGACGGTTATGGCAATTATGGTGCTCATGGTCTTTGCTGTTAATAAAAATGGTACTCATGGTACTTATTACGGAAACTTACGCGTCTGCTATGGTAACTTCCGGTAACCATATCGCTTTCTGGGGCACATAAATATGACTAATCCCTCCATACTCAAGCGGATTCCATTTCAACCTATGATCCGTCCATTCAGCGGTATAATCGAATATAAATGTGACCTTCTCTTCAACCTCTACCTGAAAATCTCTAATTAACGTTAATTACCCAATTAAGTCTTAATTACCACATCTACTAATTTCAACATGGCCATTCTGAGGGTCAATTGAAGGATTGGTGGATGGATTGTGTTATTTTGATCAATCCATTGAGATGAGTCTGAAAATTAGGGTAATTAAGTGGGTAATTAAGAAAATGCACCCGGTTCTAAATCGTTTAGTGTTCTAGGCTGTCCCGGATTACGTAGTGTATAGATTGCGCTGATTTCCGGATCGTAATCGTTGAACAAGTCCTTCCATAGTCGTTTTTGATCGGCCAGAAATTTTTCGTAGTTCGCTTCTGGGAGGGACTAGAATTTTCTAGGCCAGGAGTTTTCTAGGCCACTCACTTTCATCTTTGGTCATTTCTTGTGACGTCACAAAATAGGTTAATAAACAGAATATATCGAACTTTAGCATTTTTGAAAATAGAAGAACAAGAACAATTTTTTATAAAATTTTCATTCTATTTACACAAACCAAACTAGACGGAATTTTTGGGAAGACATGTAAAACGATATGAATTGGAAACATTTGTACGTATATAGGTCAATATTCATTTTTTGAGAATTAAAAATCATCTTTATACAAACAAAATTACAAAATTCACAAGATTCGCAATTTGTAAAACAACCATGAAGATATATTCCACTTTCAGCCATTTCCAGAATTTTTGAAGTCTGAAAAATTGAATTTCAGAATATCGGAATTTCAGCATTTCTGAATTTCAGAATCTCGGAGTCTCGGAATCTCGGAATCTCGGAATCTCAGAATTTCAGAATTTCAGAGTTCCAGAATTTCAGAATTTCAGAATCTCAGAATTTCAGAATTTAAGAAGTTTTCAAAAAAACTCTGACCTTGACAATTCCTGAAATTTTGGCTCTCCATGGTTGTTTCGTTTTTTCAAACATTTTCGAATCCTTGGAAGTACCAGAACCACCCCAATCGATGACATAACAATACCCAAACCCAACGATGACGTAGATTGCTGAAAATTAAGAATGAGAAATCAGGATTAAAGAAGAAACGTTTTTCTTCATTTTGCCACAAAAATCAAGCTTCTAGCTCAATTTTGAAGCGAGTTATAGACTGATTTGTTCCGAGGGCGCGGNCGGCAGGAGGCGATGAGCGGGGCTCGCGACAGCCAGGCGCTCCTCACTATCACGCGCGCCGCTCGTCACCTCTTGCCGACCGCGTATTTCTAGTAACTAAGACTATAACTCGCTTCACAATAGAGCTAAAAGCTTGAGTTTTGTAGCAAAATGTAAAGAAAAATTGTTTGTATGGAAAATCACCTAATAATGGTATTCTAGCAGTTTTTGGAAGGTCGGCAGCCAGAATAACCAGGATAAATGTCATTGCCATGATGTTGGTAAGGCCTACGTTCAGCTGAAAATTTAAAGGATGGCCTAGGTAAAGCTACAAAAACCTAGGCCACCAAACCTTCTCCATCACGTTCTCAACATCTAGAAACAGTGCAATGATGGTCAGAAAATTGATACAGTACGCCGGTATCATAACCAGGGAAATGTAAAATCCAGGATTCCTCTCCAGTCTGGCAATGAATTTTGTAGTCGATCCAATGATATCGTTGCTCAGCGGTATTTCAGCAACACCCACATAGGTCACTTTCCATTCTCCGTTTCCCTTTAATTAGTTTTTTAATTAGGTAATTAAAAGTTTCTTACCAACTCCGATAAAGGCTTGACAATATTCACCATTCCTCCTTTTATCCTATACTCGTCTGGGAAATATGTGTGGAAGAGCACACTAACTCCACATTCGTGCTGGTCTAGTGGAAATTTGAAAACCTGCAGGTCGGAGGGTTACTGTAGCCAAAAAAACTAATGTTTCTCACGTCCAGTTGGCAAATAACAGAGGATACTGTAGCTGTGTAGAAGCCAACGGTGCCATTGTAGTTGATCTGAAAATGGGGGTATGGGAACATATGGGGATTGTCTATACCCATGCAGTTCGGGGCGCATCATCGGACTCGAAAAATTTCACTTCTTGTCTGAAACTCATTCTCTATCATTGCTCTTACCATATCTCCATAAACTTACGCATCTACTATGGTAATTTCAGGTAACCATATGGATTTCTGTGGCACATAAATATGACTAATCCCTCCATATTTATATGGATCCCATTTCAGCCTATGATCCGTCCATTCAGACGAATAATCGAAAAGAAATGATACCTTCTCTTCAACTTCAACCTGAACAGGTTTTAATTAACTTCATAATTACCCCGAATTAACCAACCACATCGACCAGTTTCAGCATAGCCATTGTGAGTTTCAGTTCCATCATTGGTGGGTGGTGGATCTTCTTGGATTGGTTTAGGAACTCGGATTTATCTTAAATTTTTTCAATGTTGTAATACCTAAGAATTCGAAATCACGTGATGTATAAATCGCGCTGAGGTTCGGATCGTAACTCTTGAACAAATCATCCCAGAGCCGTTTTTGATCCGCCAGAAATTGTGTATAGATTGACACTGAAACAATGGCCTAGTTTTAGATTTCTAGGCCTTTGGATTCCTAGCCCATGAAACACTCACTCTCATCTTCAGTCATCTCTTGGGGTGTTGAAAATCGAACTACAAAGGTTAAAATGCTAATAGAAAGCTTTAGAAAATATCTCATTTGAGCACAAAAGATGAAATTGGAAATGTTCATTTACAATTGAAGTGCACCATGTAAGCTAATACCTATGCACCCCGAAAATATTATTTTTTCGTGTTTTGTCATTCCCCTTTTTCACACGCTATATGTTTTAGGATGTTTTGGGTATTTGTCGACGGGCGGACAGCGAACAGACGGCGGACGGATGAACGGCTGACAGATAGACGAAGGGAAGAAGGATAAACGGACGGACAGACGGCTGACAGACGGATGAATGGATGAACGGGCGGAAGGCGGACGGGCAGACGGACGGACGGGCAGACGGACGGACGGATGAATGAATGGATGAACTGACGGAGGATGGACGTCGTCCGGACCGATGAATGGGCGGTCGGACGGCAGACGGACAGACGGACGGACGGGCGACGGATAGATAGACGGACGACGAACGTATGGTTGGACGGCTGGAAGGACGACGAACGGATGGACGGATGGACGGACGACGAACGGACGGACGGACGGACGGACGGACGGACGGACGGACGGACGGACGGACGGACGGACGGACGGACGGACGGACGGACGGACGGACGGACGGACGGACGGACGACGGACGGACGGACGGACGGACGACGGACGGATGGGCGGACGTCGGGCGGATGAATTGATGAACGGACGGACGGATGGATGAACGGTTGGATGAACAGACATACGGCGAAGGGAAGAAGGATAAACGGACGGACAGACGGCTGACAGACGGATGAATGGATGAACGGGCGGAAGGCGGACGGGCAGACGGACGGACGGATGAATGAATGGATGAACTGACGGAGGATGGACGTCGTCCGGACCGATGAATGGGCGGTCGGACGGCAGACGGACAGACGGACGGACGACGAACGGATGGACGGACGGACGGACGGACGGACGGACGGACGGACGACGGACGGATGGATGAACGGTTGGATGAACAGACATACGGCGGACGGATGGATGTACGGGCATCATTCATATTTTTTAAAAATTAATTAAAATGAAACAAACAATAAGTCAAATAAACAAAATAATGAAATTCACAAAATTCGCAATTTGAAACACAACCATCATCACATATTCGATTCTCAGCCACCCACAGAATCGGCCAAACCTAAAATCCTTTTAATTTTATCTAATTATCTTGAGGTCCATACCTAGAAGTCTCACGTAGCTTCTCTTTCTCACTACTGTTTCGCTTTTTTCGCCATTTTCGAATATATGGAATGAGCAAACATATCCCAATTGAAGTCATAACAATAACAAGTCCAACGATCACGTAGATTGCTGAAAACTAAGAATGACCAATTGGGAATAAGGTGTTAGGTACCTAATAATGGAATACGAGCGGTTTTTGGAAGGTCGGCAGCCAGAATCACCAGGATAAATGTCATTGCCATGATGTTAGTAAGACCTACCGTAATCTGCAATTTTCCGATGTCTTATTCTGCAAACTTTGATCCAATTCATCTTAGTTCCTACAAGAAGTATAAAAAAAGTGGTCAACTGACAAAATGTTTAGCATAATATCATCAACATTTTATCAGTTGATCCCTTTTTGATTCCTCTTACAGGAAATAAAATAAGGTCAATTGTTACCTTTTCGCTAAGATTCTCCACATTCACAAAAAGTGCGAAAATTGACAAAAAGTTGATAAAGAACGCAGGAACCATCACAAGAGCCACATAGAATCCTGGATTTCTTTGGAATCTTGCTATGAACATAATCGTTGATCCATAATTTTCGTTTCCAGATTTTTCTTCCTTCACACCAATATACGACACCTTCCATTCGCCGTTTCCCTGAAAAAGTATTTACCGTAAAACCTGTCATGGTTAAGCTCAATTATCTCAATTCCAAGGCAAAATATCAAAAGTTTGTCAAATGACAGAACACTTCTGATGTTATGATAAACAATTTATCAGTTGATAGATTTTTGATATCTCTCACAGAAACCGAGATAATTGAGTTTAAAGTTAAACCTGTAAAGTGCCCAAAAGTGTAAGGTAATGTTCTATTTTCTAAGCCCCGAGGGTTTTTTATTAGAGGGGCGATATATTGAATGTCCCTTCTATTAGAGGTCCTACGAAATTATTTTTGATTTTCCAATAATAATTTCAAACCCACCAATTTCGAAAGCGGTTTTGGCATATCTTCCATGTCCCCGTTCATTTTATACTCATCGGCGAAATATGTGTTGGCGACTACACTAACACCACACTCGTGTTGGTCCATTGGGAATTGGAAGACCTGCAAATCAATTGGTTACTGTAAATATCGTGGTTTACTTACATCCATTTCACAAATCACAGATGCTACTGTAGAAGTGTAAAAGCCAACGGTGCCATTGAAATTTATCTTTAAATCAAAAGTTTAAAAAATTAAGCTTCAATGGAATTTTTAGAATTTTCAACCCACCCATGCAATACTAGGAGCATCTTCGGATTCGAAAAACTTCACTTCATGACTGCAAAAACAATAAAAACCATACTTGTAAAATTCCGGGCCGGGCCTGAGGAAATTTTCAAGGCCCGGGCCCGGCCCGGAAGGCCCGGTGTCAAAAATTCTGTATTTTTGAGCCAAATTTTGAGCTCTCAATATAATTTTTTCCATTTTTTTTTGTATTTCGGATTGTTTGTCTGTCTGATCAAAAAAGATCGAAGAACTCGAAAAAAAATTTTTTGGTCGAAAAAAATCGCATAAGGGCCCTCCCCTTATGTGTTTTTTGAAAGTTTCAAAACTAGTGAAATGACGGGCCCGCCGGGCCGAGCCGGGCCGGGCCTCCGAAATTCCGGAAAAAGTCCGTCCCGGCCCGGCCCGTTACAAGTATGATAAAAACAACTCCTTATTTAAAACTTACGCGTCTGCAATAGTGATTTCTGGGAGCCATATGGATTTCTGTGGCACATAAATATGACTAATCCCCCCATATTCTAATGGATTCCATGTCAGCCTGTGATCCGTCCATTCTGCCGAGTAATCGAAAAGAAACGTGGCTTTCTCTTCAACTTCTACCTGAACAGATTTAAATAGCTAGCTAACTACGCCCAATTAACAAACCACATCAACCAGTTTCAACATAGCCATAATTAGATTCAGCTCTGTCATTGGTGGGTGTTTGGTGGCGTTCTGGTTGATCCATTGAGATTTATCTAGAAACGCTCTAGAATGTTTAGAGAAAGAAACTCTTTGAAAATGGTAAAAATGGTCCTAATGGTACAATGGTACAAATTGTACAAATGGTACAAATGGTACTAATAGTGCTAATACTACTAATGGTACGAATGGTACAAATGGTACTCATGGTCCTAATGGTACCAATCGTACAAATGGTACAGATGGTGCTAATGGAACCATATGGTACACATGACACTCATGGAACGAATGGTACAAAACGGTACTCATGGTGCTCATGGTACTAGTGGTACTACTGTTACTTATGGAACCAAATGATACTCATGGTACTGATTGTACTGATGGTACGGATGATACAAAACGGTACTCATGGTACTAATGGTACTTATAGTACCAAATTGTAATGATGGTACTAAATGGTGTTCATGGTACTTATGATATACTCACGTAATGTATAAATCGCGCTCAACGTTGGATCATAATCGGCGAACAAGTCTTTGTATAGTCGTTTTTGATTTGCCAAAAAGTTTTTGTAGACCGTCACTGAAAAAATGGTGATGGCCTAGGATTGGGATTCTAGGTCATTCTTACTTTCTTCTTTTGTCATCAATTGTGAGATGGCAATTGAAATCATAGAGAAGAAAAATAATAGTTGGAGCATGGTTGAGCAGAAAGTGACTAACTAAACTTTTAGAGGAAAAAGGAAACTGGTAGGAAAAAGGACATAAAATGTAAAACAATATTCTGAAACCAGGAAAAAGTATAAAGTTTCTATCTACAGAACACAAATTTTGACACAATCTTCATTTTAAGAATATCAAGTGAACAAAATAATGAAATTTACAAGATTCGCAATTTGAAAAATAACCATCAACACATATTCCACTTTTAGACATGAACAGAATCTAGCGAATCTGGAACTTATAATCTAAATGTTTTTTTATTTGAAAGGGACTACCTGGTAGTTTTCTTTTTCTTCATGACCCCATTGTTTTGCCATTTTCGAATATGTGGAATCAGCAAAACCACACCGATTGAAGTCATGACAATGATCAAACCAACTATCACGTAGATGGCTGATAAAAGTTGTTTTGATTTTTGCATGGATAAATTCTAGCTGTTTTCCCTTTCATTTTGCAACAAAAATCACGTTTCTAGCTCAATTTTGAAGCGAGTTATAGNCATATTTGCTACGAGGGCGCGGCTAGCTAGAGGTGATGAGCGACGCG